CGTTCTGTTTTAGAAAGAGAAAAAGAGAAAAAGAGGGACAAAAAGCTTACTGTTTTAGAGGGAGACAGAGCTGTTTGAGAGAGAGAAAAGGAGATAAAATGAGAGAGAGGAAAAAATAGAGAGGCAGACGGTCGATTGGAGAATTTGAAAAAAGGGAGAGCCTACCGATTGAGAAATGAAAATAGAGGAGAGAGCCTACTCTACTGTTTGAGAAATAAAAATTGAGGAGAGAGCTACTGTTTGATTAATAAAAATTGAAGAAAGAAGATTGCTTGAGAAATAAAAATTGAAAAAAGGAGAGAGAAAGAGAGGTTACGTTGGTGTTGTATTGGAGGCCTGTTGTCTGATTTCTTGCTAAGGGATGGAATGGAAAAATTGCAGAGAAAAATCAAGAGAGGAAACTCGAGACAATAGACTTGCTATGGCTGGAGGTCTATTTTATTGAAGACTGAATTTCTTTTTCATGCATGTGAAGGAAGAGAAGAAGAAATGACCAAATGGGTAAATGTTGGGAAAAAATCATGAAATATTATTGACTTTTGAGATCTTTTCCCAAAAAAAAAAAAGAACAATATAATCTTTCCATCTTCTGCCTCTGTGTTTTTACTCCTGTAGAGACTAAGGTTGGAGAGAATCCAATGTGATGTATTCTCATTATTAAAGTCTATATATATAGACAAATATACAAGGTTGACCTAATCCTATAAGGAGAAGGTAAARGACAAATTAATATTAATACAAGAATATAAAATATACTAATATCTATACTCTAACACTCCCCCTCAAGTTGGTGCATATATATTAAACATGCCCAACTTGTTAGACAAATAATCTATTCGTGCTTCATTCAACTTGTGTTCTGTTATTTTTGATATCATTGGGATCACCTTAGAAGTTACGATTGGTTTCTTCTCAACCATAACAAACTAACGAACTTATTTGAACAAAACGACAGAACCAGACCAAACCACCCGAACCAAACAAAACAGATGAATCAAACTGCTGGAACCAAACCGGATTAGGTATTTTCTGAAACCAGAAACCCTAAGTGCTAACCCACGACAACCAGAGGGGCGAAGGCGACGGGTGGCGACTTGCAGTGACAAAAGCACACGGCGACGGCGACGGCGATTGGCGGCGAGACGAAACCCATGAACAGCAATCGGAAAACAATAGCGCTGGCGAATCAGCAAACAGCGGCGGTCGGCGGCAGCGGCAGTAGTGAGTTGAGTTGGATAGCAATGAACAAAACCCTAAGGGACAAACCCTAATGGGCACAAAACCCTAATGGGCATCAAAACCCTAATGGGCACAAAACCCTAATGGGCACAAAAATTTTAGAAGAAACCTAGAGCTCTGATACCATGTAGAGACTAAGGTTGGAGAGAATCCAATGTGATGTATTCTCATTATTAAAGTCTATATATATAGACAAATATACAAGGTTGACCTAATCCTATAAGGAGAAGGTAAAAGACAGATTAATATTAATACAAGAATATAAAATATACTAATATCTATACTCTAACAACTCCAAACAGCAGCATTGAGTTTTAAAAAAACAAAAACCCAAAACGCAAGATTTTATGCCTTTTAGGGCTTCATTTTTTTTTAATATTTTATTAAAGAAGTGCACGCTTTTGCGCTTCGGGGCTTCAATTGAGGTGCGTGCTTCATTAAAATCGCCTCGCTTATTCAAGGCGAGGCATGGAGGCTGCGCTTAGCGCCTGTGCGTGCCTAGGTGGGCTTTTTCAAACATTGGATCTCGTGGATAAAAGGATGCATAACGAACACCTCTTTTTTTGTTATTATTAATGGAAGGCCAAGGCGAAGTTTAAAGCTCAAAGAGCTTTGAGGCAAGGGGACCCGCTTGCCCCGTTCCTGTTTGTTCTAGTGGTTAACGTGATGAGTAGGAATTAGGATGCTGGACAAAGGCTCTAGAGAAGGCTGGTTGGAAGGTCTCACGGTAGGGGACAGCGATCTCCATATCCAGAGTAAATGTGCCTTTTGGGAGCTAATAGTGGAGAAAATGGAGAGGAAGCTAGCTAGATGGAAATCCTTTCATCTCGAGAGGTAGAGTAACTTTGATTAACTCAGTGCTGACAAGTATTCCCCTGCACTTCTTCTCTATTTTTAAATGCCCAAAACAAATCATTACAAGGATGGAGAATTTAATCAGAAATTTCTTTTGGAAAGGAGGAAAACAGGATGGAGGTCCCAACCCAATTTCATGGAAAGTGACTGCTCTGCCTATAAGCATGGGAGGCATCGGTTTAGGTAACCTAGAAGCTAGAAATACAGTTCTTTTGGCTAAGTGAAGTTGGTGCTTCCTAACGGAGGAAAGCTCGCTGTGGAGAAATGTTATTGCTAGAAAATTTGGGTATCTTCCTCATGAATGGTGGCCACATCCTAAAGGCAGATTTAGATTTAAAGGCCCCTGGGTTACTATAATTCATGGCTGTAAAGAGGCAGAAGAATGGTACAATTTCAAGGTGGGCGACAGGGGAAAAATTCAATTTTGGAAAGACCTCAAACACCCCAATCTCAGATGCCTTTCCAAGATTTTTTAGAGTGGCTAACTCTAAAGAATTCACGATAGCTCAATGTTGGTTAGTTGAGCAAAGAGGTTGGAACTTATGCTTCAGAAGAAACTTATCGGACCTGGAAATTGAGGAATGGTTGAAGTTATCCAGCGAAATTGCACACTCTCAAGAGAGAAGGACTCCATGGCGTGGGGGCTTGAGAATAGTGGTATATTCTCTGTTAAATCCCTAGTCCCGAAACTAATAAGGCATCAGGAGTTGGATGCCTTTGGTAGTAGTGCTGTTTGGAAGCTGGAAATTCCTAAAAAAGTGAAGACCTTCTTGTGGATTTTTGCTAGAGAACGACTACAAACTTGTACTAGATTGCAAAAAAGTTGTCCAAACTGGCAAATATCCCCGAATTGGTGTAGTATGTGCAAATTGAGTGCAGAAGACCAAATGCACCTATTCTTTACGTGCCCTTACAGTGCTAATAGCTGGGAGAAGCTCATGGAGACATTCAACATTAATTGGGTATTTCCTAAGAGTGCGGGTGAAGCCTTAAGACAACTTCTTTGGGGGACTCAGTTCAAGGGTCAAGCATTCACTTTATGGTCAAATGCAGTGGCGAGTATCCTTTGGAGAATATGGCACGAGAGGAATCAACGGGTTTTTCATGACAAAGAAATGAACGTGCATGCTTTTTGGGACCTTGTCAAAATTTTTGCCTCTTCGTGGACCTCGTTATCTAGATTGTTTTGTAGCTATGGTGTGACACAATCTTTGCCAATTGGGAGGCTTTTTTTAACCTTCTTTGGCATGTGGGGATACCTCATCTCCCACTCTTTTTGTACTACTCTCTTTTGATAATGAAAGTTTTGTTTCTTATCAAAAAAATAAAATAAAATTAATTGTTTTTCCTTTTATATATTTTTTTTTTTAATGAGGAACACATATTTCATTGATGAAATATACAAAAAGGAAAGGAGTTACAAAAGATCTCTCCAATTCCTTAAAAGGTCATTTAGACTATAGCTAGAGAAAGAAGGAAAATAGCTTTTACACCAGCTAAGAGCTGTAACCAAAACCCCATCAAAAATGTTGGCAAACGGCTGGGACTTGTTGAAACTTCTGCTATTCCTCTCTCCAAAGATTCCAAAGAAAAGCTCTGATAAATAGGGACCACATAATCATCTTGTTTTTTTTTTAAAGGATGTCCCCCCAAAGTTACTTGTAACAGAGAGTTTATATTTGCATGAAGAGGGATTTGCCAATCGAAAGTTTCAATGATGAGACTCCAAAAGCTGTGAGCAAATTCGCAAGTGACAATGAGATGGTTTTGGGTTTCTGCTTCCTTGAGGCACATTATGCACCCATTTGGAGATAAAGCCATCATTGGAAGACACCTCTGTAACCTATCTTGGGTGTTGATAGCTTCATGACTAAGCTCCCAACAAAAGAATTTTACTTTTTTGGGGTATTTTCTGCCCAAATAATTTCAAAAGACAGCACAGCTGTGAGGTGCTTTAAGAGGGATTTAACCGTATAGGTTTGAGTGGGGTCCATAGGCCAAATCCATTTGTCTTCCCTGTGAGAGAGATGAATTGCCGAGATTTTGTGCTCAAGGTCAATCCATTCTTCCAGTTCTTCATCTTTGAGCGATCTGCGGAAATGGTGATTCCATGAAGCTGTGGGTTGATCCCACATATCGCTAACCTTAGCATCTTTCTTTGTAGAGAGCGAGGGGAAACGGAGGAAAAGCTCAACCAAGGGGGTGTTAGAGGTCCATCTGTCGTACCAGAAGCTAGCCAATCTACCATTGCCAATTTTACAATGGACTCTATTCTTTATGTTGTTAATGCACTTAGATATGCCAGCCCAAGGACCGTCGTAAATTTTGGACGGTTGTTTTGGCCAAGGCTGATTTGGTAATGAGTAGATTTTTGTCTAGTTTCCTTATTTAGTAACGTGTCTCACCTCTACTTAAGGTGACCTAACATTTTACCTTCAAAGAAGATAAATAATTTTATTTCTTCTCAAAATTGACTCTAGTTTAAGAAAAGAGAATGAAAAATAGTTATAACGATGATGATAATTATTAGAATAATCTAACTCAATGGAATCACCATCACATTCTAAAATCAGACGCATGGAACAAAAGAAGCAAATTTTGATGGAACATAGATGCCATTTCACAGTTAACGTTTCCTCTCGTCAAGAAAATACAATGTGCATCAATTAATTCTGATAAACTGTCCCCAAAGTTCAATTCTTCCTGTTCAATTCTTTCTCTCAAAGACCTAAGCACTTCTATAATCAATAACTCTAACTCTGTGCAACCAATATAAACTCTTCTCATTCAACAATTAATATCTTTACCAAAATGTACAAAAACATCATTATCATTGAGCCACTGCAGAAGCAAGTGAAGGACAAAAGCTTCAATAGGACAAGGAAGCCACATAACAAAGTACCAACCTTCTTCTGGAAGGTTTGACTTTCCTCTTTTCATAGCCATTTCAGCACGATGATCAGAAGTAATCTTCAAAAGATGCTCCTGAAATAATATTCATGAAGAAAAAAACATTAAAGTCACAAGGCTGAAACCTGATAACAATTAATAAGTCTTTGTGCGGACAACGGTGTCATGCAATATCAACAATTATGAAAAAGTGCAAAGATAAAGAAGATATCCATTCATGGCTCTCAATTCTTAAAGATGTATTTTCCGTGAGGTAATTAGGACCAAGACTGATGTGAGATAATTACAGAGGATTTGAGTAATCTTTCTCCTCACTGATCTTTTTTTCTACTAAGAATCTTTCTATTCACTGTTAATAATTTCTATTCACTAGGAAAACTTATTGGAAACTTCATATTCCAACCATGTTGAGAACCTTTGGTTGCTAATGATTGAGGTTCTATCTCAATAAGGCCATGACACTCTGAACTAATACAACTTTTTCTCGTCTGTTGGATATCTTGTTGGCTAGAAGAGAGGGAGAGCGAGGGAGAAGAAACAAGATTGGAGGACCACTTTGGACAATTTTTGGCAAAAAGCATGTATTTGTTGCTCTCTTTGGACTACTATTGCTCTTTGGGCAACAAATTCTACGAATCTGTAATATTTTGCAGTGTTCCTTTCTTTTTCCTGCTTATTTCTATTTTGACATTAATCATTTTGTTGGATGGGACCTCATATGTAGCCTTGGTTGGTTAATAGGTTTCGACTAGCTATTACATTGGTTAGTTACTCTTGATCAACAATTGAATCACAGATGAGAAAACATGGGATTTTGTTTCAAAAGAAAGCAGGAAATGGGGAGACCACATCGAAAAATTTTTAAATCAATGGGTCAAAAAATATGCACCTAAAATGACAAATTTGATGAGCTCAAAGGCATTCAAATTAGTAATGGTACATCAGTTTGATTTAATCCAATATATAATTTTCTCCAAGTTCTTATATAAATGGGCTACGAACTTTTCATTGTTATGCACCACCCTAGTCCACCTTTTTGTACATTCATACACTCAATACAAGACATTTGTTTCCCAAGAAAGTAAAAAGTAGAGACCGTGGTGGTAATGATGACATACAACTGAGTTTATGGATAACCTTAACATGCTAATTAAAATTTAAGAATGGAAATGAAGGTAGAAAATCACATACTTTAAGAGTACTTGGGTCATAACGTTCTGAAAAGATATCTGATCTTTCGCTAGGAGGTCCATCTGCACCCAAGGACTCCCTGGGAAAAGGAAATATATTCAGTTTCCATTATTAATTTTGAACTGTAACAGCTCAAAAACAAATGAAGAACTATCACCTTTGGCTGCGAATAATATTTTGGGTTGCAAGTTCCTGTTAGGAAAAAAACTAATTACAGCATTTGAAAAACTAAAATAATTTATCTCGTTGTCTTCCATAAAAGGTGAAGCAGACAACAAGAGCTATACAAAATTATGAGTGATTTGAAGAACTGAAATATATTGAACATGCATACCTGTTCCCTCAACACTGCATCCTGAACAGCACTGTCAATGTCCCTGGTATCGCCAACATGCGATCCGAATTTGCTAGAAGACGAGCAAGCAATTTTAAACACGCCGTCATGGGGAACATTGTTCTGATCATTTACACGACTTGGTTCTGTCTCCTGGAACTTTTCATTCCCCTGCACGAGCAGTTCATCCACAGTTGCAGTGCTCTTCCCAAGTTGCTGCTCAACAAAGGTATCTTGATCGGAAGACACTGCTACAGAACTCTGCGCTTCTCCCGGTTGGCTAGAGGAGTCTTGTTTGCCAGACTTTACAAGTTCTTGCACTTCATTCTGGGCGTAAGATTGAGATTGAGCGGCGCCCGATTCCTTGAGGGGTCTATCTTCAACGCTGGACCCAATTGTAGTTATGAACGAGTCTCCGGAAACTGCAGCTGCTGCATTTGAGGTCGGCATCCTCTGGATTAGGGTTTCAGTCTTGGAAGTTGTGCTGCACTTGACCAACTGATTATGGGAATTTGAGGAGCATTTGGATATGGCGAATTCGACGATATGCAGAGAGAAGCTTTTGGTCGGAATGGTGCAAAATGGGGTGCCAGAGAGAGCGAGCGATGAAATGCCGAGATTGTTGGGAAATTGGGATTCCCTTCGAGAACCAGTTTTGGATTCCTTCCGAAAAAATCTAATTAGTGACCCACCTCCCCTTATTTTTCAGAAATTGGGATTTTTGTTCCTCTTAATTGAATTTCGATGACTAGCCAAAAATCTCTCGTTCTTGATCCTCTCTTTCTTTCTTTCTTTTTTTTNGACGTATTTTCATTTTTTTACTTTATAAAATTACTAAAATATTCTTATTATTCAAAAAAAACAAATTTCTTCCGAATCTTTATTTCTTCCCTCTGTCTCACCATAAACCTCACAATTATCAATTACAAATCTAAAAAATCTAACCTTTAAACTTGAAAAATCAATTACGAACCGAAAAAATTTTTAATTATAAATTTTATAGAAAAAACATATTTAAAAAAAAATTAAAATTATATAATGAAATATTAAATATTTAATCGTTTATTATGAAAAATCAAATTTACATCATTACATGACAAGATTTGTACAGATTTGATCAATACGATATATAAATAAAAGACACAACAGGGAGAAACTTTATCTCTCTATTTTATCCTTCAATTTTACGATTGATCCCTCCTTTTCTCTCTCCAAATCCCCTAAAATTCCTTTAATTTTTTTTCTCCCTCCCCCACACGACTACTCTCCCCCCTCCAAATTCTCTCAAATTCAACCAATTTTTCTCGAAAATTAGGATTTTTGATACATCCTAATTTAATTCAATTTGAATTTTTGACCTCATTTCAAAAAATACTAATTTGTGACCCCTCCAATTGAAAACTTGACCACTATTAAATTTTTTGGGTGAATTACCTTTAAAATTCAAATTGATTTTACTCACAATCAACATTTTTCCTCCCCTTTCAATTCCTAAAGTTAAAAATATGCAAAATCTTTTTCTACTTCTTTCTATCATTCCAAAATTATGCAAGGAGGAATATCAAATTGGATCATCTAATAACCCTACTCACACCACTACTAAGAAATAGTAAGAAATGGTGTTGCGTCTGCACATCGCCCAATCCATATCCGCCTTCACGCACCGCTGCCATAAAGTCTCCATCTTCAGCGATAGAGGCGTCGTCGCTGACATCACCTTTCCGCAATATGCCGCCGGCTGCACCCGACGGTTTATAACCTTCTGCGACCAGTTGCGTAGTTTTGAGATGATCGAAGGAAGGAGAAGAAGAAACGGTTACAATTTCTAGATGAAGTGGGCACAATCCCGGACCAAGATAGCATACGGGATTGTGCAATCCAGAACCGGGATAGCATCGGAATTGTGCAATCCCGAACCGAGATAGCATAAAAATGCAATCTTGGTCCCAGATTCTGCATCCCAGACCCGATCCAGGATTCGTGTAATTTCATTTTTTCCCTTAATTACGTAATTTTGATCCTTTTTTAAAATTAAATCTATGCAATCTTGGCTTAGATTTATGAAATTTTGACTTTCCTTTTAAATTAAATTCGGTATCTATGAAATCGTTTTTTCGTAAACGGTTTATGAAATCATTTTTTTCCTTAATTACGTAATTTCGATCCTCTTTTTAAATTAAATTTATGCAATCTTGGTCTAGATTCATGAAATTTTGACTTTTCATTTAAATAAAATCCGAGTATTTTTTAAATCTTTGGCCGAGATTATGCAAATTTCCATATTGAACGATTTTTTTTTACCCACGCAATTAACTAATTTCGATTTTTTCCATTAATTTTTTAAAGTTAAAAAATTCAATTTTCACATTAAATGATTTTCCCAATTAGCTTTTTTGACATATTCAATTAGTTTAGATTTTTCGTACTAAAAAAGAAAATTAGTTTAGATTCTTCAAATTTATAAAAAGAGATTTTTTTTTCACTCATTCTTTAATTCAATATGAGAGAAGATTGTGAGTCACCAAAGGGTATTTTCGTAATCACATATTCACCTGAAAGGGGTCAAAATTTCAATGGGAAGGGTCACACATAAGAGTTTTTGTAAATGAGATTAAAATCCGAATTGAATAATAAGAGGGGTCAAAAATCCTAATTTCTCATCTAAACTCATGTTTTACATATGTTTTGAACTTGAAAACAAAGAAACACATATCACACTTTTAAAATCCTCTCAAAGAAACATTGTTGTCCATGCGTTTGATCATTGTCCCCACACTATCCAAAATCATTGTCCCCACATTTTCACTGTTAAAAAGTTAGGTATGTTACACTTTCAACCTTTTTTATTTTAAAATTGCTGAAATTATTTGAAATATTTCCTCATTCATACATTCTATTGGAATGGACTTCTTGAAAAGAGAAAAAAAATCGTTGTCCTGGACCAATACCTGGTCTGGGATTGAAGTTAAATTGCACCAGGATTGAATGTTATTCAATCCCGGTGCATCCTGGTTCAGGACACAAGCTGAGACACATCCTGGACTATTCCTGAACCAGAATTGGTCCGAGACATGTCCTAGAGTAATCTCAAACCATGATTAGTCTGGGACATGTCTTAGACCAAGACTGGTTCGAGACGATCCAAAATGACAAATTTTTCCTTTTATTTTATTATTATTTTTAATATATTTTTTCTAAACGATCAATTTTCTTATTTCACTAATATTTGCAGGATGCCTCGTGTTTTCATAACATTCGATGGAGAATGGAACGATAGTGAAATCATTCATATGTTTTTCAGACAAGCCATAAAATACTATCAAGAAAAATATAGGTTCCTTCATATTGGACTAGTACATGTATCAGTTAATTCCTTGCACAATCTTGGCCTAAATACCCCAATCATTTAGATTTTGGAAACTGTATCCTCGCTGTAGTTGAATCAAACCTTGAGCGAGACCCAATATACTTCAATTACTATCCAAACTTCTTGGTCTCTTTGAGTGACCTACATGTAATTTCTTCTTTAGTGTTAGATATTAAAATCTAAAACCTAAGATTAGAAGCATAATCTGAACCAATTTTATTCATCTTTAGGATTCATAACAAATTAATGCATACTCATCTATCCCCTAAAGCCTTGAAATCCTCTCCAAGAGATCATACCCTACTTATAGAGGTTAATGACAAGTTTTATCAATCTTATATATCAAGAATGCTCAAGTGAGAACAAATTACACAAGATCCTCAATGGAATCTTCAAGACGTCTTTGAACCTGAGGTCGAAGAACCACCTATGATACTTCAAATAGTTGAATATAAAACCAGAAGCGTAGATCTCCAATTCATTAGGATTGAACCTTCAACCTCAATAGGATTCGGACCATCTACTAATGATGAACCCTCTAGAATTTCAATTATTTCACATTCTAATTATCATGATCAACCAAACACTTTTTTTTCAAGGAGTAAAATTTGGAAGACCCATTCCTCAGCTATTTTACTCCAAGGATGAAGAATAACCTTTATCTCCTACTCATTCGAGTATGCAACGAATTAGTCAATTAAATGTTATATCCAAATCATTTCGTATAGACAAACAAATTATTGATCAAGAATTCCTGTCCAACAAAAATAAGCCCTTGAAAGAATTATTATTTAAATACTTCAACATAGAGGAAAGAAGCGAAATCTGAAATGAATACCACGAGACAATGGAAAAACTCGAATTAAATATTCATTTCTTTCAATGGATAAAAAATAATAAATATTATGAAACTCTCAATTCTCCTATACATCAGAGTATCAATACAAATACGACTTATCCTATTTGGCAAACCACCAAGGCTACCACTATAGTCTCTCCACACCCTCACTTAGAAAATATCTGATTTACTAATGCTCAAAATCAACAAGTGATAGCCATTGTTCAAAATTTCGTTCGACGTATTGACGGTCTCGACATCGACATAAAGGGAAAAAGTTGTTTTCCCCCAATGTCGTCGACATGTGGACATGTCGAGGAAATGTCGACCAAATGTCTTTTTTTTTTTTTTTGCATTGAATCCCTAAATGGTTGAGAAAATCTGGATCCACGGTGGCTTCTAGTTAGTTGAGACTTAAAAGAAGATATGTTGTTTTTTAAGAAAAAATCTATATTGAAATTTTGAATCCAAATCTTAAAAAAAGAAGGATTTCCGTTCAAAACATCTTTTCAAATTTCTGTAAATTCAAAGTTTGTGGAAGAGCAACAAGAAAAGTCGAAAATAATAGCAAAAGATTATACGACATTGGTCGTTTTCTGTTTTTCTTTTAAAGAAATTAAAGTTCTTATCCTTTTGGTTCAAAAAAAGAAAAAAAAAACAAGTATTAAATTAAATTTAACTATAAAAATCTAATAAAATCTTAAACAAATAGATTATAAACAATCGATTTATAAATAAACTTAATTTAAATTAAATTTAACTAAAAAACTAACAAAATCTTAAAGTAATTGATTTAAAAGAAAAATAAATTTTAAATTAAATTTAAATCACCAAATCTTAAAACAAACAAATAAAAGAAAATCAATTTAGCTAATTATTATTAAACATTTAAATTTTGAAAAAGTTAAATTATTATCTTTGGATTCAAAAAAGAAAAAAAAATAAATGTTAAATTAAATTTAACTAGAAAATCTAACAAAATCTTAAAGAAAGAGATAATGGATTTTAAAAAACAAAATTTATATCAAATTTAACTAAAAAATATAACAAAATGTTAAAGTAATCGATTTAAAAGAAAAACAAATTTTAAATTAAATTTAACAACCAAATCTTAAAACAAACAAATAAAAGAAAATCAATTTAACTAATTATTATTAAACATTTAAAATTTAAACTAAATCTAATTTTCTTAAAATTATTTCATACTTTATATATATATATATATCTATATTTTACATATTTTGTTCAATTATGTAACTAGATTGGATTAGAAATTATCAATAAAAAAGTAACATTAAACTTTAATTTACTAATTTAAATAATTTTCATATATGTATACATGATTTTGTTTCGACATTTTCATCGCAACGACATTTCCATAAGTAGATTACTTATATATTTAGATATGATGGTTAAAAGTGATTAGTATAGGCTAATTAAGCTACAATTAAAATCTTATTTACTAATTTAAAAAATTTGCATTAATATCCATTATTTTCGTAATTTTTCCAGAAATATCCATCGACATCGACATGTCCGTAAAATCGGGACCTCGACATTTTCATACATTTCGAACCTTGGATATAGCATCCCCTTATAAAATGAGTGTTTCCACCTGAAAATGAAAACAACACTCCAACTCTAAAAGACATAAAAATATACAATTACAAAATAATTATTCTAATAAAATTCTGCATACAATATCTAACTAAGTTAAAAGAATAGAAAACAAATTAGATAGGTCAAGTAATATCAACTCAAAAGAACAGTTTAAACCAATAGATAGAACAAAACCTTTGTTCAAACCCTTTGAAATTTCAAATCAATATCTAAAGGCAATAAACCTTTCAAGTATAGATTCAAAAAATAATTTAGACAAAATTAATACACAATTGCAAAATTTAACCATACATTCTACCCCTTCAACTTTTAAGGTAAATATTATAGCCGAAGATCCTAATGAAACAATAACAAATATAGGGGAACAATTTAATAACCTTACCTTCCAGAAAATAGGAAACTAAAGACATGCCAAATTAAAAAATTATTATTCTAGAGCTTCTTTTCCTGACATGCAATATGAAGAAAGATCCGATCTAACACAAGTTCAATATATGGGAAGTGGCATTTATAAATGGAACATAGATGGTATGACCGAATATCAAATATGAAGTACAATACAAGAAATGACTTTGACGACCACTACCTACAAAATACACCAAAACACTAGACATCAAATTGCAAAGATTTTAGCCTCTAGTTTTACAAGGCAACTTAAAGGATGGTGAGATAATTGTGTATCCTAAGATGACAAAGTAAGAATATTAACAGCCATTAAGGTTTGAACAAGACGGATCCCAAATAAATCAAACTCAAGATGTTGTTGCAACACTAATATATACAGTCACCAAAAGTTTTATAGGTGAACCCGTTAGATTTCAAGAAAGGACTTCTGAAATCCTCACAAACTTTACGTGTCCAAAATTACAAGACTTATGATGGTACAAAGACGTTTTCCTCAATAAGGTTTTTACACGAACCGACTGTAATCATCCTTATTGGAAAGAAAAATTTCTTTCAGGATTACCAAAATTGTTTGCCGAAAAAGTACAGCAGACCATTAGACAAACTTATCAAGGAACCATTCCATTGGAAACTTTAACATATGGATAAATAATTAATAATGAAAGACTTGTTTTATGTACAGACCTCAAACTTAGAGCCAAAATGAAAAATGAAACCTCTAAACAAAGACAGAAATTATGATCTTTTGTGCTCAATATGGTTATGAGAAAATTCAAACTCCCTCTACACAAAAGAAATATAAAAATAGGAATAATAAAAATTACAAAGAAACCCATTACAGAACTCCATAAAAAACGAAAATATTACCAATACAACCAAAAACAATATAATAAATCTCCTCCAAAAAGAAAAGGTAAATCTTTTAAAACCACAAAACAACGAAAATAAATTATCTGCCACAAGTGCAAACAAAAGGGGAGATATTGCTCCAAATTGTCCTATGAAAGGAAAAATTAATAACCTAGAAATAGATGATGAACTCAAAAGTCAATTATTAAACATATTAACTTATTCTTCCTCAGAATACGATGATAATCTTCTTATGATCAAATTTTTGAAATCCAAGAAAATACTGATGAAACATCTTCTGAAGAATTATCATCAGAAAATCAAATTGAGCCCTGCACCTGTAAACAAATAATTAATGTTATAATAAAAGATCAAGAATTTCTTTAAATATTATAGAACAAATTGATGATCCATAAATCAAACGGGAATATCTACTAAAATTAAAAGATTTAATAACTAGTGAAAATAAGGCAAAAAATAGAGAACATTATAGTCTTATTAAAATACTTTCACGTTTTGAACCCAAAACCAAAACTATAACACTTTAGGATTTTCATAGAGAAGTAAATCTTTTAAAAGAAGAAATTTAAAATATTAAAAAAGATAATTCTCAAATACAATTGGAATTATTAACTCTGAAAATCCAACAAATAACTGATCAACCTTCAAGATGAAACACTCAGAAATATTGAAATAGAAGATAAAACAAATGATGAATCTTTTATTAACATTATAAATAAACTACACTTGCAAAAATGATATTCAGTCATCAATCTCGTAGTAAGCAGAGAATATCATTTAGCCTCAAAGGATTAGTCAAAAGTCTTCCATGTCTATCGATTGTTAACCCTCATGCATCACTCATAGTTGAAACCGATGTCTCTACATTGGATACGGTGACATTCTCAAACAATCCACACATAGTCTAGAACAATTGGTTAGATATCACTCTAGAATTTGGATAGGCGCACAAAAAAATTATTCTACTATCAAAAAAGGAATTTGATCAATCGTTTTATGCGTCAACAAATTTCAAAGTGATCCTATAAACAAAAGTTTTTTGATACGTGTTGATTGCAAAGTTGCCAATGATGTTTTACAAAAGGATGTCAAAACTTTAGTTTCCTGACAAATTTTTGCTAGGTGGCAAACAATTCTTTCATGTTTTGATTTCTAAATTGAATCTATAAAAGGGAGCACAAACTCCCTTCCTGATTATCTTACAAGAGAGCTTCTAAAAGCAAAGATAGAGAAAAATGAGCCCTCAAAGAGAGAAAATGAAGGAGATGAATGACCAAAACCTAAAATGAAAGCCTCATATTCTCAAGCTTATCATTTTCTCGAAGGAGAAATATAAACACCAAGAAGAAAAGAAAAAGCACCTCAACAAGAATCTTCTCAACGAGGTAATGCAATACCTACATCAAATAGATTTCAAATAGATTTTGATGTGATAATCTTGCATAAAATCAAATTTACCTATTTGATAGATTGTTTTGATGTCTACATTTAGTATGGACCAAATATGAAGATTTCTTTCAATATGGGCTATTTGAGCTTCTTGACTATTTACAACCTTAATGTGGGAGTTATCTGTGTAATCTTCTTTGATTTGTTTTCCTTTCACTACAACAATCAAGGGTTTCAGCGACGAAAATTTTTCATCGCTGAAAAGAAATTTTCGTTGCTGAAGAACGTCAGCGACGAAAGAATTTTCATCGCTAAAACTGAGTCTCTAAAGAGGTAAGCGACGAAAACACGCATTCGTCGCATATTGGCGACGAAAATAAACTTTTTGACGCATATGCGACGTAAATCATTTGCGTCACATTTGCGATACAAAAACGCCTTCGTCGCATTCTGACCATATTTTTCCCATTACAATTTTCCTTTCTTGCAAGTTTTCCTTGTTTTTTCATTCTAATTCTCCTTATTATGCAAAAGTAAACACAAATGTCTAATCGACATCAAAATTCGTCACTAAATTTAAAACATTCAACTTGCAAAATTAATTAGATAATAATATGAATTTCATTAAACAATATATGTCATTGAAAACATATACAAGTTTCTGCAAATAAAAACAATTCAATTAGAGTACGTACATATAGAATGAAATTTCTGAAAATTAAAACAACGAAATGTCTACCAAAATTTACAAATAACATTCTCCCTCCAATTGAGCCAAGGTTACAAAATATGTTTCCACCATATATCGTTGCATCAATCCTGTACAAAAATTGCATCAACTATTGTTGTAGTACAAATATTAAAGCCTACACTAATAGACAAAATTAAACAAATATACTAAACCAATTTTACAAACACTCCTTTGTCAAATAAATATATATAGAACAAAAACTCAAAAATCCAAATTAAATAAAATTAAACCACAAAAATATTTATGTTTTCCTCATTCAAACCCGAGAATAATAAAAAACAAATGACATAAGCAACTATCACAAAATCTATCAAGAACTATTCAAAAACTTATGCACTTACTTAAAACCCACAAAACCTGTGGAACACCTCCTTAAACCATACCCCTCTCCCCCCGCTACCTCTCGCTCTTCATTATGATATAATTCCAAGAAAATGATTTACCAAGAAGTTTAGACATTAAGAAATTTTTGAGATATAGACCAAATTCTTTAATTTTCTTTCTAATATTGTAACAGACTTGGAATTCTTATTGCTAGAATTTCTACAACACGGGAACGCCAAGCTTACCAACGGTCTTACGATTCTACTGCTGGGAACACAAGGCTTACCAACGCGCTGTTCAGTAGAAAGGAAAGCAATCTTGAACTTCAAAATCTATTAAAATACTAGAGTTCCAGTGTGGCTATTGATCTAAAATTTCTCAAGATCTACTATCTTAATACCACTCCACCCAACTGGGTATGAATGGCTCAGATACCACTGAGGCCTGGATCAGGTTGATTGTTTAGGTTGAGATAATGGAATTAAGAATATTGTCTAATGTAATAAACATCTCTTGGTTTATATATGATACAATATTGAATGGAGATGAATGTATGGAGAATGAAAACAAATGAAAGATCATGAATATGTGTGATGCAATAGCTTGGTGGCATTAGAATTTGAAATAATGTGTGGTGATAAGAAGGCATTGTAAATCATAAAATCTTTTGGATTTAATTGGTAAATAAAGAGGCAAGATTTAAACTTACTTGTAAGAAGAAGACAAAAGTTGGGGAAATGAGTAGTTTATTCAAACTTGAGCACCGTTCCCTTTTACAAACTTAAGATCACTCACTTTCTAACTCTGTCCTCTATTTACAACTACTTGCTTCCTTTATAGTACAGTAGGAAGCGTTCAAGTACAACACGTGGAAAGTATTTACAACACATAGGCATTACATAAAAGTAAAGTACAACATGTGGAAACTAACTAAAATACATAGGACGCTAGGTGTCGATTTACTAGGACTACATGCGACACCTTTACAAAACTAAAACACATGACATGCTAGGTGTCGGGTTATTAAGGCTACGTACGACACCTTTACAAAACGACAAACTATGTCTTGATAGAACTTTGTTGATGAAATCTCCAAGGTTGATTGGGAATTTGTCTCGAGAGGTTGATTAGAATCTTGTCTTTATTGACTTGGTTATTGTGAATAGATATGACTCATGAAATTGGCAGACTTGATTGTCGTCATCTTGATCTTTGTCATCATCATTATCTTGACTGTCGCTCGGAGAAGAAATTTGTTGAATTATATCAGTCAGTTCTTGATCATTTGTAACTCATGTCATGGCTGCAATGAGTCTTAATCTTTGAGCAAGGAATTGTTGATTCCGCTGAACATTTTGTTTTTTATTATGTGGGTAGACATAACTATTTTTCGACTACTTGTCTTGAGGCGATTGCTGTATTGAACTTGTCCCACTATTTGATTTTGTACATTTGGTGAAGACGGGATATTCCATTGGTTTCTATAATTGAATAGTCCCAACAAAATATCCAAGCTAAAAGAAATAATTTGAAAATAGCAAAAGAGGATTGAATGGATCTGTAAAAACATTGATTGAAAAATATTTGAAGTTTTGCGAAAGTGGATAAGGTAGAATAGCCTCGGTAAGACCGAAAATATTCCAATAGTCATTAAACCATAATGGAAAGTTTCACACAAGATTTGTCAAAAATAATAAACCAGGAATGATTGTAATTATTTAACCAAAACATATTATACCAAGCGTTTTGACAATCAACGTATGAATATGTTTCAGGAAAGAAAGTGTGGGTAAACTTCTTTTCGGTGTAAATATTTTAATTCCATTTTGTGAGTGTTAATACACGGAGAATTTTGACTTTTGAAAAAGCAATTTTATTTGGATGGGTTTTGTCCTTCGTATGGATTAATTTAATGGAATCTATTTCTATAAGTATATGTTCATAGAATAATCGGGTTTTATGAATTTGGTCTAGAATTAAATGAAAGTTTGAAAGAAATGTTTTTTTGGATGATTTCAGAGATGAAAGTATTTAAGTATTCTGGGTCAAGAGTGGTAATAAATTTGGTTTGAGATTTTGAAAGGTATTATGTGGTAACGGAGTTCTTGGTGGTTTTATCAAGAATTTCATCAGGGAATTTATTTGCAAATTCTATAGATTTTGAATGATTTTTTTTACCCACTCAATTAATTAATTTCAATTTTTTCCATTAATTTTTTAAAGTTAAAATTTTCGATTTTCACATTAAATGATTTTCTCAATTAGATTTTTGACTCATTCAATTAGTTTAGATTCTTCAAATTTATAAAAAGAGATTTTTTTTACTCATTCTTTAATTCAATATAAAAGAAGATTGTGAGTCAAACCAAAGGGTATTTTCGTAATCCCATATTCACTAAAAAGTTGAAAGGGGTCAAAATTTCAATGGGAGGGGTCACACATAAGAGTTTTTGTAAATGAGGTCAAAATCTGAATTGAATTAATTATAAGAGGGGTAAGAAATCCTAACTTCTTATCTAAACTCATGTTTTACGTATGTTTCGAACTTGAAAACAAAGAAACACATATCACATTTTTAAAATCCTCTAAAAAAAACATTGTTGTCCACTTGTTTGATCATTGTCCAAATACTATCTAAAATCATTGTTCCCACATTTTCACTTTTGAAGAGTTAGGTACGTTACACTTACAATCTTTTTTATTTTAAAATTGCTAAAATTATTTGAAATATTTCCCCATTCATACATTCTACTGGAATGAGCTTCTTGAAAAGAGAAAAAAAAAAGCATTGTTTAGATCGTTGTCTTGACCAATACTTGGTCCAAGATTGAAGAAAAATTGCATCACGATTGAATGTTATTCAATCCTGGTGCATCCTGGTTCGAGACCAGAGTCGGGACACATCCCAAACTATTCTTGAACCAGGATTGGTTCGAGACATGTGCCGGAGTAATCCCGAACCATGATTAGTATGTGACATGTCTTGGACCAATACTGGTCCGAGACGGTCTGAAATGACAATTTTTTTCCTTCTTTTATTATTATTTTTAATATTTTTTTAAACGATCGATTTTCTTATCTCACTTAGTTTTATTCTATTTGCAGGATGCCTCACGTTTTCATAATATTCAGTGGAGAATGGAACGAGAGTGAAAAAGATTATGTTGGTGGTCGTACGAGAGGATTGACAATGGATACTACAACCACGTACGAAAAATTTATAGGTCACGTGTATAGATTGAGTAATATAAACCCCCTACAGTTTGATATTATAATTAGACGTGTATATCATTTTACAACTAAAGTTTGTGTAATGGAGATAATTGATGACAATGACTTGAGTTTTTTTTTTTTTTTTTGTACTAGTGAGGATGTATCTGAATTGCCTATATAAATATCTACCATGTCAAAGTAGGTACATGAGAATGAAACGTACATGCCTTCTTTCCCATATTATGTAGACCAACACGTGTCATCGATTCTTATGTCCATAACTTGTATTCTCCCATTCTAGAGACCCACATATCCTATATCCTCATTTCCTTCCTCATCGTCGAACTCCTCTTCTTCCCAACAGTCACACACCTCCTACGGACATATAGGTTATGATATAGTAGGTTTAACACCATTAGATTCAGATGTTGTTCCATGTAATCTGGGAGAAGACATAGTATGTGATTGGGATGCGTCGAGAGTGTGGAATGATAAGAAAGATGAAGTGATGAATCATATGACCCGTTGCAGAAGAAAGAGACTCTGAAGCAAAATACGGGAATGGTGACAATGCTGATGCACTTGATGAAGAGCCTAATGTGGAATAGGTACACACTGAGTTTAGCAGGGATGAAGAAGCGATTCGGTAAATTATATGTAATGGTCTCACCAGACTACCTAATTATGAGAAATTGCAACTCATGGTACAGTCTTCTAGAACAAATGATGTTAAGGAGGGTGAATTATTTGATACGAAGGAGTTGATGTTGAAAATGCATTTAGTTGCAATGTAGTGAATTTTCAGTTTAAAGTAAAAAAGTCGACACTAGAACTATATATACTTTGGTCGTTGATACTAGTTGCACGTGGAATGTAATATGTTCAAGATTAAAAAATATTGTACCGTCCATACATGCAATGGTGGAGTTTTGAAACAAGATCAATGGTGTCGCAACGTCATCGCGACGCGACGTCATTCCCTGAAAGGTCTCTTTCGAGATAAGGGTTTGGAGTCACCACCAATCATCTACGAGTTGTGATTGGTCACCTATTTAAAAGAAATTTGGTCTGCTAAAACAAAATTTTAGTTCGGGAGTCGATTGAGTGTAGGGAAAGTGTTTGCTTACTACGACACCAATTTGAAAACGATACCATATTTTGTCAAAAATTATCTTATTATTTTATTTGGTCCAAAAGAAAATTAATTTGTGTTTTTATTTAAATGTCATAACTAATAATTATGAGTGGCACGAAGACCATTAGAGAAATTTTATCACCTCGAGAATATTGGATGGTACCAATTTCCATCGTTGGAGTTTTCGAAATAATTCTTTAGTAAAACAATGATAAAAAAAAAATCAATCTTACTTTGAGGCACACAATATCTCAAACTTGGGTCATGAATATTAATGTCCAAGTCCCTTGCTAATGTGTCAACATTTAGGATACAACTTAAATTTCTTCTTTAAAATACAAACTTTTTATTTTCAAACTTTGTTTAAATTAAAAAAATTATTTTTTTAATTAAAAAGAAAAAAAATCTTCTATTTATTTGAAGTTTGAAATTCGTTTTAAAAAAAAAAAATTCCTATTTATATGATCAAACTTATTTAGAAAGATATCTTATTCATTTTTTAAAACTTATTTAACAAATATTTCATTTTAAAAACAAACATTTACTTACTTTGTGATTTGAGATTTATTAATTTTAAAACAAAAATTTTCCATTCAATCTTTTATTTACTTTCCAAAAGGACTTTACTCTTAAACTTCCTTTTAAAGAAAAAGTTTCCTTTAAACTTAATTTTTTACTAAATCAAAGAGAATAAAATAAAATAAAATAAAAAATTGAAACAATATCTTTTATTCATTTTAAAAGAGACTTACTTAAAAACAAACAAAATTTTGCATTTGAGATTGCAAATGGATTCCGAATGATTGGAGACCAAAATTTTCTTGAAAAAAACAATTTTTTTAAATACATAAAAAAATCTTATTTCAAAAAACACATCCTGCACTTGGAAAAAAAACTTATTATTTTAAAACAAATTTTAAGATCCTTCCTCTTCTTTTCAAAACTTATTTAAACTTAATTTAAGATATTTTATTTCCTATGTAATATTTTTTTTCCTTTGTAACACAGAGAGATAATGAGAAATATGAAACCCATTGATCATCGGTCAAAAAGCCACCAAACGAAACAGTAAAATGCCACAAAGGAAAACAAAGAGGCTGCTAAGATTTCACCACACTAAAACTTCCAACCGAAAAGCTAGATCATATAACGCCCTATAGTCGCCTAGTTTCTCCAGCCTCCTTTGACGACTAAGTGTCAAAGAGATTTTCTTTCTTTTAAATAAAAAAACAAAACTTGACTTATTGTACTCACAAAACACTTTTTCCTTATTGACACAGCAATAATTGACGTATAAAGCAGCCCCGAACAACACTAAAAAATCAGCACAATAAGTACGTAAAACAGCCCCCAAAACCTCAAATTTTTCCCCACGAAAACATTTGTAAATAACCCCAAACTGGTCCCAAAAGTTTTAAAACTTGAGGAGTGAACAAAACATAATAAAAAAAACAAATACAAAGTCACGAACGTAACTTAGCCCACCTTGTTTACCTATGTAAGGAATATTATGGGTCTATTAGTTGGAGTGGAAGCGGATCGGGTCATTGTTGGAGTTCATAAGGGGCGTTGTTGGATCTATAAGGGTCAATGAAAGAAAAATGATTATGATCGAGGAGGAGGTGATTATGGTAGAGTTAGGGAGAGAGGAGTCTGAGTTTCCTTCCTTGTTTTTTTCTTCTCAAACTAATCAAAACCCTCTCTTTATATAGGGTGTAAAAAGCAATGGTAAGACTATATCACTGAAGTAGGAAAGGTGCCACTTTTGGTGGAATGAAGACTTGACAAAATCTTAAAAAAAAAAAAACTCTTTTATTTAAAACCAGATCTAATTTTTTTTACTTTTTAACAATTGATTAAAAAGGAAAAACTTGGGTTTTTAATAAAATACAAACAACTAAAATAAATATAATGATGATAATAATAATAATAAAATCAAATTCTTTTTAAAACAAAATCTATTTTTATAATTTAATTTATTTAAAACTTTATATTAAAACTTATGTTATCTTTAACCAAAACAATTACATTAAAACTTATGTTATTTTTAACCAAACAAAAATAATAATAAAAAGGAAAATTAAGTCGGACCAAATACGGTGTCTATAATAGGTAACCCAAGAGTTGGGTGGTCGGACATCTTGTCCAAGCGAAGTTCACAGACGTCTCCCGCATGTATAGACGGAAGGACATTATACAAGACATGAGGAAGGAATATGATGTCAATTTAAGTTATGATATAAAGCATGACAGTCCAGTGAAGACTCCGACTTATTAGAGGGGCATTGAAAATCATGAACCCAAGTATTATTTTCGAATTGGAACTATTGGGTCAATCGATTAGAGGTTTACTTGGTTGTATTAGACCATTGTTGGTTGTTGACGGGGCTCACCTACAAGGGAGGTTCAAACGGGTATTGTTAACAGCTTCTGGTGTTGATGCGAATAACCATATTTATCCGATTGCATTTGCGATTGTCGACGGTGAGACCGTATCATCATGAGTATGGTTTATGACTTAAATAAAAAGTGCGCTTGTTAACAATTTGGTTTTCGTTTCTGATAGACATCCAATAATTTGTAAGGCAATTGAGAAGATATTTTCTATTGTATTTCATTGCTTTTGTATACAGCATATTAAGATGAACTTGATAGCAAAATTTAAAGACGATGCGAAAGCAATCGAAGACTATTTCTAAAGGCTGTAAAGACATATCAAGTTTTATTTCAACTCAATCTGAGACCAACTTCCTGGTACGATGGAATACCTAGACGACATTGAGAAGGAACATTGGGCTCGTTGTTTCCAAACTGAATTGAGGTACACTCAGATGACCACTAATGTTGCTGAGTCTGTAAATGCCTTCTTTAGGCACACGCCTAAGTTGCCAGTGACTGCTTTACTTGACCACATTAGAGGTCTGTTACAGACTTGGTTCTACAATCGACGGATGCTTGTATCTTCTTGATCCACCACATTGTCTGACAATGCAGAAAAGATGTTCGCTGAATACTCAGATAGTACCATGAGACACATTGTAGTCAACATCGACCAGTTTCATTTCGAGGTACGTGATGGCAACCTTGACGGGATTGTTGATTTAAACTCTAGAACATGTAGTTGTCGGGAGTTCGATTACTTTAGAATTCCACGTTTACATGTTATTGCCGGGGCGATGGTACGCAACATAAATCTATACACTCTGTGTGACGAGGCGTACACGACGAACTTTTTGATTTTGGCTTATACAGAATCAATCTTTCCAGTCAGACACGTCTAGACATGGAACAGTTCGCCTGAGTTTGTCAACATACAGGTGGAACCATCGAAGACGATTCTTAGAGTCGTTAGGTGACAGATGGTTATGATTCCTTCAATGGGCCAGGTGTGCCAAACACGTAAGTGCGGTCGTTGTGGTACGTCGAGACACAATCGCAAAACATGCCGCGAACCCTAAACACATTGTGAATGTATGATTTTGTTGGTTCTTTATGTTTGAACATGTATGAAGTGGACACAATGAAAATTGGAAGGTAATTTGTATCTCAAGCAAGCAACCATGCATGCTTTGGTAATCCTATGTGTTATATTATTATTATAATTTTGAGATTGTATGTATATGTGTTTCATATGTATTATCCAACGTTCGTGATCGTGGAAGGTATGAAATACTAAAAACAGAACTGAAACATATATATTACCATAAGAAAATGTGATGATACGCCCTTATTTGTACAACATATTGTCGCCTAAAAAATACAACATTAGTTTGGGTCAGAGTGTCCATCTTTGACCCGATGACATGATACTCGAAGAATTTGACACATAATATCCCACAATCTGTCGCGCTTCTTTGTTGGGTTGCGCCAACTCGACGCACCTTCCATGGTACGACTAGCAAGTCTGGTCGTACTGCAAACATCCTGCCGTAGTGAAGCACCGCAAGTACGATCGTACACATGGGCTTCAGCTCTTTCTCGAGTGCCTCCAATGGGGTGGCTGGCTGTAGTGAATCCCAGACGGTTATATCGCCCTCCACAAGATCGATACCAATTATCACCTAATGGTTCCCGCCTATGTGAATTCGAGTATACATCATGTCTGTACCACTCCAGAGTGTGTTGTGGTCCGACTGTCTATCGAACATGTATCGGAAGATGGTTTTCTTCTTACTACATTCATACTTTATTCTCGAGGCCAAGACTCTTGGCCTCATGGCAGCATATGGACCATCTGTTCAGTTGTGCAATGTCTTTGCAGAAATACGATGACATGAGACTTACATAAAGAATTGGAACATGCATTTTATTATATTGAACCTAAAGGGGTAAAAAATTACTTACAAAAAGAAGTACGTCGTCAATCGCAAACTTTTTGCGACATAGATGAACACACTTGTCCAACTTTTTCGTCGTAAACAGTACTAATGCATCAGCTACCTGTTCCATATAACATATTCACAATGAGGTAATCAACATATTCACAATATCGTACTTAGTGAGTAAGAAATACTTACTTTCTCCTTCAATTCGATATTATGGTCCAGTAGATTGCAATACCATTCTTTCCTTGCATTTCACCTGGAGTAGACCACATTCTTCCGTTGGTTTTTTGGTCATCCATCCATCTTTGGAACTGTTCGTCTAACTATGGAGGAACAAGACATGCTGAGTCGTAGCTCACCACGGTCATCATATGCTTCTTGGTTGGTGTGTACATATCCTTAAGTTTTTACGAGTAATAACGCTTCCGTAGCCCTTCGGTCAGTTAACCTGGTGAAGGTCAGATGCAACATAAACCACAGTTTATGAATTCAGGACAATATAAGTTAACACGAGAGCAGTTAAGTACAAATGATAAAATATATTATATTAAGTTTACCTTAACAATTACTTATGGTGGTACTGCGTGTTGCATATTGGGAAGCCTATCGAGTCGCCTATTTGATGGACCATCAAGTTGCCTACCGATAATGAGATTTTGATATACAAAAAAGTGCATCAGGTTACAATATACTAGCATGAAAGTATACTAGCACACTATAAGGTAATTACTTGAATTCACCCACTCTAGATTCATGATCACTTGACTAATCCACTACGAAGCCATCGGGCTGCTTCCGAACGTAAGGTCCTGAGATTAAAGAACATGATTAGGGGATGTCGTGAGTATACTGTTGGTTCGATTTACGTCCCCTTGTACAAGTGTACACAATCTTCGCAGCAAGTAATAAAAAGTTCGTATCCACAAGGATTGATTGTTACACACTTCAATAATCACTTAAGATGGGGGGTTTTAAACAAGCAAAGTATTTATAACAAATAGGAGAACTAAAGTAAATCAACCCAAACAGTACACCAATGAACTACTGTTAAAATGAATTAAAGACATATGACAGCGAAATATCTAAGGAAAATGCACAAATATGAACTGAAATACTGATATTAAAGTAAGGGGGAAGCGGTTAAGTGACTCTTGTGGACTTAAGCAAACGATGTTACAACATAAACGATGCTAGAGCATTAGCCAAACAGACATGGAATCTTCCCAAATTTTCCAGATTTTCTCCCTAAGTCACCACATACTAAACTCAAGTAGTCCCTAGAGCATAAATGATGTTAGGAAAATGCACAGTTTTCATGACCAAGCTAGGTGATGTTTATCCCTAAGTCACCACATGCTAAACTCAAGTAGACTCTAGCTCGAGATGAAGTATTTCGCTTCCTATTACAATTTTCCAAAAGTTAACAAGAAGGTATTCCAACATGGTGATCAAGCATATTGAAAATAAATTTATAAAACAACTTCAACTCAATGTTGTTCATCATTTAAAAACAGTAACAAAGTCTACAACCACAATGGTTCACAACAACCTCCCCCTCACAAATTAGATTAGCTACGTAAAGCCATACAAGAAAATCAAATAAAAACTAGAATGAAAATAAAACAAAGAGATTCAAAGATGAAGAGAATGAGCTGAAGGTTTCAGCTCAAAGCGAAATTCTCTTGTTCTCTGTTTCAGCAGCAAATTTCTAGGCTTATTCTTCCTCTTCCACGGCAGCTGGATAGGTTTCTTGGAGAGTGAGATGGATGATTCCAAAATGGAGTGGGGAAGAATCCTCTTAGAGGCTACCTTAAAATGGGACTTTTATATCCATCCTTAATTTTAGGGCAACACAAAGGATAAAGTGGGCCCCAGCTGTAAATTCCAGATTTTTCTCCGAGTTACTGTGGTAAATCCCGTTGAGCAGTCCTTTCACTGTCAATTTGTCATTTTCTGCTGCTTTCTGAATCTAAATCTGATACTGTAGCATCGTCCCGTTGAGCAGTCCTTTCACACCAAAATTAGCTCAATTGCAATTGACAATACTAAAATGTAGAAAGCTAGTGTTTATGATCTTTTTAACACAAACTCAGTGAATAAGGGTACAAGTGATGCTATCTTTAGCTAATTTATACCAACATTATCCCCAAATAACTCTCTATATGAAGAGTTATCATATACGGGCCAGTTAGCATTAAATAAGTAGGAGTTACCTCAATTACACTGACTCAATGATCAGGGGAAGCCTCCACTGTTGCATTGTCCTCATCCGTTTTCGGACCCTGATCCGTCTTCGGATCCTCGTTCATGTTTTTTGGACCCTGATCCATCTTTCTGATACTCGTCTGTATTCTTCGATTCCTCGGGAGTCTTCGAAACCTCATCAGGTCTTTGGTCCTCATCCATATTCTTTAGACCTCCAATTGTCTTCGAGTCCTCATCAGGCCTTTCATTTGAGTGACCATCTCCATCGGGCCCACCCCCACCTCCAAAATATTTACTCGGATTGGGGAACTTCCCATGAAGAAAAAATACGATCCATAAGAGTTATTGTAGTAAAACAGTAAAAACTAAACTAAATGAAGTTTATATAATAAAAAAGATGCTTACCTTTGACATTTTCTTAAGGTCCTTTGGATACCTTTCAGGGCGATTTCAATGCCACCCAAGGTGGCCTCAATAGCACCAACACGATCACTGAGCCTCCTCAACCATCTACTGATCCTCTTCTTGAATTTCTTCTTCTTCGTCTTCTTGTCTGGCGTTTGTCCGTCATTTCCTTCTTCATTGGCCACAACATCGTCCATTGGAGGGGCCTCTTCTCGAACATCCTCTTCTACCAAATCTTCTACAATCTTCTTCCCTTTGTCACTCCCTCTTTTTGCATGATTTCCCCTTTCCATAGTGGGAGACGCTTGAACAACAGGCAAATAAGGTCTTATGTCAATGTCGTGTCTTTGAGGGGATATGATGCGGGCTTCCCGTGGAAGCATGATACGGTTCATGTGTTGTTGCTCAGCATCCATCGACTTCAAGTATACCTTAACCTTGAACTGCATAGAAACGATTGTTAGATCCAAATGAAAAAACAAATATCAAGCATACGACCATCTGAGAATTGCTTACCCACGTGTTATCGAATACATCACTCGCAAACACACGAAACCCGTAAGAATAGGTGCACGATCATCTGAGAAGTCGAGGAATGGTGTCGTCACTCAACCTCGTTGCTACTTTCACACTAAACATCGAGATAGTCTCGTATGCCCATACCTGGAATCAAATGAAGTCAAATAAATTATGTAGTTAAATAATCAATTTAATTTTACAGTTGACCTAAACCTCAATAACCTGAAACATGTGTAGGGTCGTCTCTCACCTTCTATTGGTACACCGATAGTTTATCATTTAGAACGTTCTTTAGGCTCCAAATTGTCCTTTCAAAAATCATCGTAGTGTAGTCATAGTTGTAGAACAACTCCAACCGATCCACAATACCTAATAGATTTGTATCTATGAACTGCCTCCTTTCGTCATCCATTATGGCAAGCTCTATGAAGTAAACTATGGCAACCTTGACAACATCCTCGTTGTTGTCAAAACTCTGCTCCATAAAAATCTTCTCCAACTCCTTACACTTAACCCTCACACTATCCTTAAAATAACGTGCTCTAAGTCTTCGACCGAGAATATCGTTATCTACTCTATTAATCCTGTGTTTGAGCCTGATGATTAGGTCAAGCTCTTGCTTGTCGAAAGACACCCTATTTCCAAATAGGTTAAAGTTAATGACATTCTGTTTCTACTCAACCTCTCTCAACAACAGGTGATGAATCAATTGACCATTAAATACAACGTCAATGTCCAAAATAGGAACAAAACATGTTTGCTTAAACATGTCTATTGGGTTGGGGTTAACCTAGCCTTATGCGTAGAAGTGAGTTTACCTATATGGGCAAGGTTTGTCGACGAGGTCGAAAACGAGTCATTACGGTCTAGCATAAGTCTCAAATCCATCGTATCTCCTAGACAAAGTTAAAATTAAAAATATTAGATAAAGACCAATGTAACTAAGTTAAAAAGAATTTAAAAAAACGTCTTCAATGTGGGAATATAAGTTCTGCCATTCATCTCGATTCGAGACGGACTAGGATGAAAGCCAGAAAGAAGGTTGTCATTTCTGCCTTTCATCCTGGGCCGAGACGGACTGGGACGAGACAGATTGGGACAAGGTTCGAGATGAAAGACAGAACATGTATCATCTCGCAGCTTCACTTCTGGCTTTCATCCTGGTGCTTGTCTCGGTCCGTCTCGTACCAGGATGAAAGGCAGAAGCCAAGCTTGATCCCGGAGTGAACCAAATGGTATCCCGGATGCCATATTCGTCATCCCAAAACGAAACACACTAGGATTGAATCAGGGATTGAATATGAAACGACATCCAATATTTCCTTTGTTTTGATTTCTCAATCTGATACCTGCACGACCCAAAATGAAAGGAAAAATTACTTGGCTGCTTCAGAAAGCGTCGAAAATGAAAACCCTAACAACAAGGAACGAAAAATTTCTCTAAACTACGAAAAATTTCTTTAAACAAAAAGAGAACCCTAAACTCTGACTCAGAGATCGAAACCATGATGACGAGAAGAAACTCTAACCTTGATGATGAGAAGAGACTGATGACGTTACCTCTAAAATTGATGGGTGCAAAACTCCAAGAAATCGTCTGTTGGCCTTTTGAGAACCGAGATAAGGAATGAAGGGAGAGAATGATTGGGAATGCTCCGAGATAGGGAGGGAATTGATTTTTTAAAATTGAGGGAATACGGTAATTTCACAATTAAAAATTTTGGAAGGGGTACAAAATAAGGGGAAGTAGGGTAACAAACTATGTTTTTTCAAAATAGTGTCATTTATCCGATTTCACTTATTGAAAGGGTCATAAATCCCAATTTCCCGAGATTGTGAAAGCTCTGAAAATTTTTCATGGGGTATTTTACAAATGTAAGATTTTTTTTAGTATAAGAGTGGGGGATTGAACTCACAATCTCTTGGTTGGAGATATAAGCCAATTATCACAGAACAATGCTCGCTTTGGCTACAAATGTAAGATTTGAATGGCATTTTGGTATGTAACAATAGTATCTTCTTTAAGATATATGTGGTATATTCAAGGTTCGAAACGTCGAGGTCCCGAGTTTAAGGACATGTCGATGTCGACCAATATTTCGAGAAAAATGACGAAAATTTATGGATATTTATGCAAATTTTTTGAATTAGTAAATAAAACTTTAATTGCAACTTAATTAGCTCATAATTGATCTTTTTTAACAATCATATCTAAATATATAAGTAATATACTCATGAAAATGTCGTTGCAATGAAAATATCGAAATAAAATCATGTATACATACATGGAATATATTAGTAAATTGAATTTTTTTTTAGACAAAAGAACTAACAAAAACAATTAAAGAAAAGAGACAACATTAGGGTTGTTCGCAATGCTAAAATCTCATCTAGCTTCTACAGTAAGCCAATTTGGGAATCTAGAGATCCAGATTTTGTTTGGATTTGACGAAATTGCAGTTGAAGCCAAACGATGAGTAACATTACTTGAAGATCTTTGAATATGCATGAAGAGAATATCTATGAAATTTATGGCACACATGTGAATGTCATCCACCCATACATTAGGTTGGTGAGAAGGATCATACTCCTGCGATATGAGGTTGATCGAGTTCTGCGAATCGGAGTCCACCTGCACAAATATGAGGTCGAGACATTGAGTCAGCCATAAACCCTCAAGAATAGCCAATGTCTCAACTTGCAAAGGTTCATAAAACACATCTAATTTCCTTATCATTGCAACAATAATTTCTCCTTTGTCATTTTGGCAAACCACCCCAATTCCTGTTCTTGAATTTGATAATTTGCAGGCAGTGTCTACGTTTATCTTTACCCAGTCAGGAGAAGGAGGAGCCCAATAATTTACGTCTTTCCCAGCCTTGTTGCTATTCGGGAGATGAATATCGGCTCTTTCGTGAAAGTTGCGCTATTTCGATTTCCTTCAATTATGACATAATCCATTCACTTCTGCTTTTTACATCAAGTATTGGGTTGTTAAACTTAGTCGCATTTTGGTCGAGCCATATAGCCTAAGTACTAACACTAACCAGTTTTAACTCCTTTATAGAAGTAGACTCCATCAGCTAGATAAATCTGTCTTGGAAAGTTTTATTATTGCTTGATCATGTTATATTGATAATTCATAATCCAATCTAGTTTTTAGTTACATAAGTGAACAAGATATGTTAAATATCGATATATATAAAATATGAAATAATAGTAAAAATTTTGAAAAATAAGATTTATTATATACAAATTTTGGTGATAAATTTGATAGAAAAGTTAGATGAATGATTGATTTAGAGATGTATTTGAAAATTTTGATTTTAAATTTGAAAAGAAAGTGGTAAAAAGTAAAAATAAAAAAATAATTTAAGTGAATTAGAAATGTGTTTGGAAATTATATAAATTTAATTGGAAAGTTGGATGGATTATTGTTTTAGAAAAGTGTTTGAAGAGTGTAAATTTAAATTTGAAAAGAAAAGTGGTAAAAGTATTAAAAAATAATTTGAGTAAGTTAAAAATGTGTTTGGAAATGGTATAAATTTGATTGGAAAGTTGGATGGATGATTGATTTAGAAATATGTTTGAAAAATTGTGTAAGTTTAAATTTGAAAAGAAAAGTTGTGATAAAGAACCTTAGTGCAACGAACTATAAGAAACCTTAATGGAGTTATAACTTTTATAAAGCATAACACTAAAACTCATAATTCAAGTTGTATCAATCGAAGAAATGACTAAAACGAATTACCTTGATGATCAATATCAGGAATAGAGAAAATTTGTTCCTAAACTCGAGATTCGAACCACTCCACAAGATAGCTTGATCAAGGTTACTTGAATGATCCTAGCATGCAAATCTAACACTCAAGAATGGTAAGGAATAACAAGCTCTAGGTTTTTTAAAGCAAATTTGCAACTTTCATTCAATAACAAAATTCTGAATTTTCAAGGAAACAAAGCTAGGCTATTTATAGCCTCCAAAACAATCCTAAAAGTAACCTAAAGGCATTTGAAATGTTGTAACTCCCAATTACATGATGGTCACTCACTAGCTAAAATGTATCTTAAAACGCTTAAAATGAAATGCTTACAACTGAAAATACAACAACAAGGCCTTTGAATCCGAGAATTGAAATCTTGATCAGCCTTCAAAGTCTTTGTAACCTCATAATCATAAATGAATCTTCACTTGAAGTAGTTTGAAGTATCTTTAAGTGTAGTTCCATTAATTGATGACTAACTTGCACTAAATAAAGCTTGAGATACACTTGAGTTCATTTAATGCAACTTAAGTTCTTTGAATCCAACTTAGCTTTATTGAATGCAACTTGAGTTGAACTCCACTTCAACTTCAACAACTTTAAATGGACTCTAAGTTTGCAACGCTAAGTTCATTTAATGCAACGCCTCCCTTAAGCTCTTCTTGGAAGATGTTGTTGAAATGATTCATCTCTCTCTTGATCATCCCTAGTCGAGCTCACCAAGTGTTGAACATGAGAAAGTAAAGCTTGTTGAAGCTTCTTGGCTCTTGATCTCATTATGGGTCCTTGAGGCATGCCAATGGAGCTTCTTTGGTTCACATAATCCTTCCCCTCTTAAGAAGGATTCGTCCTCGAATCATAGCCATCTCCTACATCAAAAGAACTCACATCAGCAATATTAAAGGTTGCGCTAACACCGTACTCACCTGGTAAATCAATTTTATAAGCATTACCATTGATGCGATCTAGAACTTAAATGGACCATCCCCTCCAGGATTTAGATTATAATGTCGTTGGAGGGGAAATCTCTCCTTTTGAAAGTGCACCCACACCCAATCTCCTGGGTTGAATACAATATGTTTTGACCCTTATTAATCCTTGAAGCAATACTGACATTTTGCTTCTTAATCCTCTTCTTGACCTCGTTGTGTAGCTTATGAACATATTCAACCTTAGCATTAGCATCAAAATTCACAGATCCAGTAGGTGGCAAAGGCAACAAATCAAAAGGAGTTACATGATTAAAGCCATAAACAATTTCAAAAGGAGTTCACTTAGTAGTACTATAGACAACCCTATTGTAAGCAAATTCAACAAATGACAAACAATTCTCACAAGATTTGTATTTTTATCTATAACCGCCCTAAGCATAGTAATCAATGTCCTATTTACTACTCAGTTTGACCATCCGTTTGAAGATGACGTGTAGTATAATAGACTAGCTTAGTACCTAACTTCCCCATAAGACATGCAAAAAATTATTGGAAAATTTAACATCCTGATCACTAACAATGCCGCAAGGAATGTCATGCAATTGAAAAATCTCTCTAAAGTTTAAATCTGCAATGTATTTAGCATCTTCAGTTTTATGACATGGAATGAAATGAGTCATTTTACTAAATCTGTCAACAACCACAAATATACTATCTCTACCTCTCCTAGTCCTTGGTAAACCTAAAACAAAGTCCATTTGATATATCCAACCAAACAGCAATTGGAACGGATAAAAGAGAATATAAGCCATGTGGTTTACTTCTAGATTTAACTTGTCTACATGAAATGCAATGCTCACATACTTTATGAACGCCATGTCTTATCCTAGGCCAATAAAAATATCAGATAGCAATTTGTCATATGTTTTTGCTACCCAAAATGTCGCATTAATCCTTCCCCATGAGCTTTTTTAACAAGCAATTCACAAGTAGAGCAATTTAGAATGCACAACTTACATTTCTTAAAAGAGAAATTCATCAAACAAGTTATACTCATAAAAAACAGTACCATTTTCAAAAGAATAAAAAATAGAACCAAAAGAAGCATCATCATGTTACAAAGTTTTAATATGCTCAAATCAAAGTAGTTTAATATTCAAAGTATTAAAAATAGCATACCCTTTGAGACAAAGCATAAGCAACTACATTCTCTTGACCTTGTTTAAACTTAATGACATAACGAAATGTCTCAATGAATTCTCCCACTTAGTAGGGCAACTATTTAGCTTATCTTGACCTCTCAAGTGTTTTAAACTTTCATAATTAGTATGGATAACAAACTCTTTAGGTCAAACATAATGTCACCTTGTTTGTGATGCACGAACCAAAGCATAAAGTTCTTTGTCATAAGTGGAATACTTCAAAGAAGCATCATTCAACTTCTCACTAAAGAACATTAAAGGCCTTTGATTTTGCATTAAAACAGCACCGATACCTATCCCACTAGCATCACATTAAATTTCAAAAGCCAAGTCAAAATTAGGTAATGCGAGTAATGAAGCGGATCTCAATTTTTCTTCCAAAGTGGTAAAAGCAAGTTCTTGGTCCTTTCCCTACACAAAAGTAACATTTTTCTTAACAAGTTCATTTAAAGGTGAAGCAATTGTACTAAAGTCTGTAATGAACCTACGATAGAAACCAGCAAGTCCAAGAAAACTTCTTACCTCACTTACACTTTTAGGTGTAGGCTAATCTCGTATAGCCTTTAGCTTTTCCTCATCAACCTCAACACCTTTAGATGAAACTAAAAAGTCAATAAAGTTAACTTTTTCCACACAAAAACTAAATTTCTTTAACTTTTCATACAAACTTTCCTTCCTTAAATTATTCAAAAAAGAAGTACATGCACTACAAGAACTTTAATTTTTGGCGACATATATTTAGATTACTTTTGACGATGAAACATATATTTTGTCGTCGAAAGAACCTTATTGCGACGAAATAAATTTGGTCGCCATAAGTTTTGATTAGATTTAGTTTTTTATTCAAAACTTTTAGCGACAAAACTTGGAATTCGTCTTCAAAAGTTTTGAGAAATGACGGGAATTTTACCACCCAATTTTCTTGGGAAAACTTAAGGCAACAAAGTTAGAGGTTTGTCTCCATAAGTTTCGATAAAATTAAAATTTTTTATTCAAAACTTTTGGCGACAAAACCTTTAATTCGTCGCCATAACGTACTTTTGGCGACAAAACTTAATTTCGTTGCCAAAAGTTTTTAGAAATTACTGCCAAATTTTTTTAGGGAAACTTAAGGCGACGAAATTAGGGATTCGCCACCATAAGTTTCGATTAAATTATGATCTTTTATTCAAAACTTTTGGCGATGAAACCTTGAATTTGTCGGCATAAGGTACTTTTGGCAACGAAATTGTACAAAAGTTTTGAGAAATGGCAGAAAGTTTACCGCTCAATTTTTTTTGGGGAAACTTAAGGCGACGAAATTAAGGGTTTTCGTGATGAATGTTTATTCCGTCACCGTAGATCACAATTTAACCTAACCCTTTTTATTTTCCTTCCATTTTTACTTGTTTTCTTCCTCCCTATCCCTACCTCCGCAACCCCTCCCTCCGCACATGCCTCCCCACTACTTCCTCTCCCTCCATCTGCCGCCTACATCTTCACCATTCCATCCTTTCGCCTCTTCCATTCCCTCTGCCTCCCTCCATTGGCTGTGTATATGTTCTCTCTCTGTTGTTCTCGTCCCTCACCACCACTCTTCTTCTTACTTTGAGGTATAATACATACTTGTTTTGTTGTTATTTTTTCTTTTCAAGTAATCTGAGTATATATATCTCGAAATCGTAGGATGTCACCTTGTCTGTTTCTCTTTGCTGTGTCTCTTTGTTGTTCTTCATTGGTAAAATTTTAAAATTTGTTCTCTCTCTTTCTCTATGTTGTTACAGACTCAAAATCAAATTAATGTTATTTTTAAACTAGTTATTCATTTTGTAATCAATAAATGTTTGTTGTAATCTCTTTAGCTATTTTATCTTGTACATTTTTTCAGTTTCCATGTCTTTAATTATGTTTGTTTGATGTCTCTGGTTCATTTTCTTATTTTGTGAAGATAAAATAATTGGTTAATGAGTTTTTGTATTAAGAAATTAATTTTCTTTTATTTTTTTGGCTCTAATTTTTTTGTTTTGATAATTGTTCACTGAGTTTATTTTTCATTTGTTCTTACAAGTTCTTTTGATTTTTCTTTTCATAAGTTTTGGAAATTAGAGGAGATTTCATAAAGTCAAGGAGATGAAGCTTTCTAGATTAGGTTTAGATTTACTTTGTAGTTGAAATTTACCTTCTATTGTATTTGATTTTCTATATTAGAGGATTATAAAAATTACTTTGTGCTTAATATAAATCGAAGTTTGATTTAAATTTTTTAAAGAAATATTTAGTGACAAGGTTTAAGAAGAAAAAAGAGGAAGAAACAAGAATAAAATAAAAGGTGTACAGAAAATTGTTAAATTCGTTATCTATGGCGACGAAATTCATTTTTTCGTCGTTAAAAGTCTTTCGCGACGAATTTCAAATTTTGTCACCAAAAGTCTATGACGACGAAATTGTCTTCTTCGCCATAGACTTTTTGGTGATGAAAATAAATTTGTCACCAAAGACCTTTAGCAATGCAATATGAGATTTCGTCGCCAAAGGTCTATCGCGATGAGCTATGCTGACAGACTTGGATACGAAAAAAATCGTTGGGAAAGAGTTTTGCCGACGAAATATTGACCTTTGGTGACGATTTTATGTATCGGGAAAAATCGAATTTCTTGTAATGTTGCTCAACATGCTCATCTAAGGACTTAGAGTAAACAAGAATATCATCAAAGTATGTGACCACAAACTTTCCTAAGTATTCACACAAGACATGGTTCACTAGCCTCGTGAATGTACTAAAAGCATTAGTCAATCCAAAAGGTATAACTAACCATTTGTAAAGACCATACTTAGTTTTGAAATCAGTTTTTCATTCATCTCCAATATGCATGCGAATTTGATGAAAACCCGATTTCAAATCAATCTTAGTAAATAAACTATATCCATGCAACTCATCAAGCATACATCTAATTTAGGAATTGGATGCCTATACTTAATAGTTATCTTGTTTATAGCCCTACAATCAACACATATAAGTCATGACCCAGCTTTCATAGGTAGAAGAATAATCGGAACAGGATATGGACTCAAATTCTCACGTACATACCCTTTGTCAAGAAGGTCATTAACTTGCCTTTGTATCTCTTCGGCCTTGCTAGGATTAGTCTTATACGCTAGACGGTTTGGAATGATCGCTCTCAGAATGAAGTCAATCTTATGCTTGATCCCCCTAAGTTCAGGCAATCCACGTGACATCTCCTCGAGAAATAATTTCTCAAACTCCTGCAAAAGTGCAATAAAAACACTAGGCAAAGATGAATTAAGTTCATTAGCAAGGAAACAAGATCTTTTCTACAAAAGTACAAGGATATTTCATTTTGCAAACAAAGAATTCCATTCTAGCACACAAGCTCATACTTTTGGCTTTTCTCTCATTTTTCTCATTAGGTCGATTGCTAGCCTCTTGCTTTTCACTCAAACTCTTTTTTTCTCTCAATTCTTTTTCTTTCATTTCTTTTGCTTTTGCATCGTCATCCTGCCTTTTCTTTTCAAGTTTACATTTATCAACATATATATCTTTTGGAGACAAAGGTGTAGGAGTAATTTTCTACCATTATGAGTAAAAAATAACAATTAGGATATCCATCATTAGGGGCATTCACGGGTTGGGTTGGGTAGGGTTATAAGAATTTTTTGGACCAACCCGAAATTTGAGTTGGTTGATTCTGCTACCCGAAAGCCCCGAGTGAAGTTCGTAACCCAACCCAACCCAACTCTCATATTTTCGGGCTGGGTTGTCGGGTTGGAATTTCAGAGGGAGGGAGATGTTAGATGAGGGATAGGGAGAGACGAGTGAGAAGTGATGTGGGTGATGAAGGGGATGAAAAGATAGAGGTGGCAGTGTGGAACTGAAAGCGGAAGAGAAGTTGTGAAGAAGAGTGATTACAGAA